TGTCATCAAAAGGTGCAGAAATGCCTTTGACATAATATTCCACACTGACAGATAAATGGTTTTGACATAAGGGTCGGAAACCTTCACCTTGCTGAACAGAATTCAACCACCATCATGGTGACTGGAGAATCAGGAGCCACATACGTCTCTCTTTCTTTGTGTGGCGAGCCAGGCAGGCACCTCTCTCTTCAAAAGAGGTGGCTTTTCTCCATGCTGGCCAAGTTTCCAAAGCAGAGCCAAAACTTCTACATGAACTCCTGGTGTACCCTGTGCCTTACCCAAGGAGGCAGGATTGGCATCTCATGGTTCATAGAGCTGACTGATCTCTCCTCGCTGGCAAGCAGGACTCTCTGTATGTGACAGCATTATTACTTTCAGGAGGTGGTTTCAAGGCAGGCTACATACCTGCTTAGTTAACAAGGCTTTCCTTTCAGTCTCTGCAGTGTTCAGTGATCCACAGTGCCATTTTCACAATGCTCAAGGCAAACACTGCTTTCTTATTTAGAGACTGGAATGGATGAATAGACAGAACAGGGCCCTTCCCATATTGATTTAACAGGCTCTCAGTTCCCAGTCATGGGCACCTTAGTGGTAGCAGGGGAAAAACCCTAGTGTTGGATTAGCCAATATGAGGAAGACTTGAAGAAGTATGCATTGGATAAATAATGTGCAGAGTACTTCTCATGCCATTAAGCCAAAATACAGTTTTAAAAAAAAAAAAACTCAGACCAGATTCTACTCAACAGAGAAAAAACAATCTGCATGTTAGAGGCCACTCAAGTTGTTGGCTCTGCTGTCTTCTCTGCCATCTGTAGAAGCTTCTGACCTTTGTAGGATGCTTCCCTGAACTTACAGCCCAGGCTCTGGTCCAGGATTTATGTTGGTTGTCTGTTGAATTCTGTTTTCTTTCCACAGTTGCCTTGGAGGGATCAAAATATCCTCCCATGAGTAATTCAACAGAAACATGTACCCGTGCAGAGAAGCAGGCAGGACACCGGGCAGTCTGCCTTGTGCATGGGGATGCCCACGCTTGGGCTCGGCTAACCCCGTGTGTAGGTGCCGGGGCCAGGAGGGGGCTGACTGCACACCAGGGACGTGGTCTCTTTGGACTGGCATCAAACACCGGAGATGACACTTCATAAACTGCCGCTTTGAAGATATACCCAGCACCTAAGATAGCTTGGATGGTTTAGGGGAATGCTGATTTGGTAAAGGAGAGGGTTTTGAGGGCTCTTTTTCTTTGAAGAAGGCATTTTAAAATACCGATAGCAGAAACACTTGCTCGGTGAGCCATTGTGCTACTTCATAGCATCAGACCAAGGGTCTCCTCGAGAAGGAATGTGGCAGTTCTCATTGATGGGGCAGCTGTGCCCCCAAGCTTGGCATCTCCAGCCAGCCTGCATTGCTGGTCTGCTCGGCCTGGAGAGGCCGAGCTGATGGGAGGTTACAGCCCCTACAGTGCTCTGTGCACTGCCATACCTTTGGGACCCACGCTTTGTGGTAGGGGAGTGTCGTATGCACCCATGACCTCAAGTTTTGAGTTCCCTTCTTTATTTGCATTACTGGAGCCCAACCAAGATTGAGGCCTCGTTTCATCAGCATTGGGCAAACCGAGACAATACCTACCTCAATTTTATTTACAGTCTAAATAGACAAGACAGACAAAGGGTGGCTGTGGAAACAAAAGCTCCAGAGAGGTGATGGGACATGACCCGGTCACCCAGCAGGAGATTAGGAGAGCCAGGAATAGACAGAGGTTTCCCGACTCCTGGTCCCAATGATCTATCAATTGGAGGATGTTAATTCTTTCTCCCATGTGCATGCTGTGACTAGCATGCCAAGGGCTCTCTAGTGAGGGGATCCGAGTTCTGGGAAACACAACCTTTGATTGCTGATGCTTCAGGCTAGAAATTCCTGGGCATTTTAATGTAAGTTAAAACACAGCTAGTCTCAGAAATGGAGTAAACTGTTTATTTTGGTGTATCTATTTAATTTCAAGTCTCCTGTTTATTTTGCACTGACCCTGTGTTTCTAGTTTCCATTTCTCCACTGACTTTTGAACGGCGTATTGTGTGTTTGAGGATAGCTGGCAGTGGGAGTGGGTAGCGTAGCGAGGACTGAAGACTTTGGTATACAAAGAAGATGGGGTTCACCTGCATTTCGGCAGCAACCATTGGAAAGTCTTTCTGTTGCTATCTGAAGAGTCAGCTAATTGTGCAATGCCTTTGATGTTCAGACTTCTCTAAAGGCAGCAACAATAATCAAACAGTCACTTTGGCTGATGTTAAACCATGGCCATGAAATCCTTTAATTTATGAATTATTTTTTTTACTTTTGAACTTCTGAAAATCACATCAGCATCACTCAGTGCTTGAGCATTGGCTCCAAAAGGGATCTATTCCCTTTGACAGGTGTAGGGATGACCAGTTTGGTGCCTGTGATTCTCAGTGCTCTGTTCATAAAACAGCCTCTTAGCCTGTTGCAGAGGAATGTTGTGAGAATAAATATGTTACCTGAAGAAATGCAAAGATTTGCAGCAATAGAAGGCATAGAAATACATTAAAACAGATGGATTCATGCACGGTCGTGACCGCAGTTGTATTTCCCCCTCAGTTTGTCACTAGCATTTCTGTGTCAGCTTTGTCTTTATTGTGTTGAGCCTGTAGGACATTACCTGTTGTATTTTCTCTGTTTGCCTGTACATCAGGCAGGGACAAGCTCCAACCTGATTTTGCTGTGTGGTTTTAAAAAAAAAAAATAGTAGTAATGTAATCTGTGGGCAAATTGCACTTTAATTCGTAATTGTGCTATGAATATGGACTTGGCTTTCAAACGCACTCTGAGTTTAAACTGCAGTTTGACTTTTATTTAGATAAATGCCTTTGAGTTCATAGTGAAACGGATATCTGCTGTAGGCTGGTATTGATTTAAAGGTCTCTTGAGTGTTTTAAAAGACAGTAGGGGCTTACAGGACAGCATATTTTAAAACTAGATGCTTGGTTAGGTTTTACACTCCTATGCAGCTTCAGGTCTAGATTGTGTTAAGAGTCAGCTTATGCTGTTGATTTGTAGAGCCTTGTTACACAGCAGGTATTGGCAAAAAATTGAACGTTTCGGGCAAGATGCAAGGAACCATCTTCAGAGCTGGTTCTGGCTGCTCTGGAATGATGGGGAGCAGCGTGTCTGTGAGAACTGTGGAATGGTTCCTGTGTGCAGGGGAATGCTTTGAGGACTTCCCATAAACGCGTTGGAGGAGGACGAGTGATCAATAATTGCTTTTTAGCTGGAAAGAGGTATTTATCGCTTCCGGCTAATCATGCGAGGTTGGTGAGCTTTGTAGTCTTTCAAGTCTCGGTGTCAGTAAGAGTTGCTGTGGGCCTAGATTTCTCTTTGCACTGCCACAAAGCGCAGTGGGCTAGTACGAGCAATTAAAACAGGAGGTCTGTCTGTGCTCTTCTGGCAATGCCCTTTTTTCGTGTCCCTCAGCTCTTGGGTCATGTAGCCTGGGTAAAAGTTCAGTAGGAGCCTCGGTGACTTAGGTACTGTTTAACTGTTTGGGCTCCAGAATTGCTTGAGTTCTGTGGGCACAGCTTTAAAACAAAGAAAATACACAAACCAGGGAAGATTGGCCAGTTTTCTAGTCAGACTGGCTTGGTGGTTTGAATAAGCAGCTGAATGTTTGAGGGCTTATCTGACATCAGGCCATGAATCTTTTGGGTCATGTTCAGAGGTGCAGTAACAGGGTGTAACCTCCCTGCAGAGGAGACAAGAGGGTTGAATTTTACCCAGGATAATATCCGAGCGCAGGGCGTGGAGCAGGGGAAAATTAAAGTAGGTCCCCCTCACAATTTCCTTACAACTTCTTGCGGTTGCTTTTCTTGCTCCCGCCCATCAATTTGCCTCCTCCCTCTTTAGACTACACACTCCCAGGAACATGCCAACACTGCATACATCATGTTAATTAAGCCATTTGTTAATTTCCGCATCATTAGTCACTTGGTCTTAATTGATCTGTGCTCTCCTGGTAAGTCCCTAGCTACAGGTCTGACCTGTCGTGTGTGGTGTGCTGATGGTGCATATCTCTGAGGGGAGACTTTGCTATTGCACCGTGTGATGCTACAGCAGAGCACGGCAAAGCGCTTGCTTGTGGTTTTCAGAGTCGGTACTTTATTTGCATTATTTTGTCTGTTTGCTGTCCCTAGCAGTCCTTGCAGTGTGCTCCCTCCAGAAGCACATTGAGCTCTGGCTGTATTTCCGACAGGGATGTCCTGCGAGGCAAGTCTGCTCTCCCACCAGGCTGTTTTCAGATAATACAGCACAACCTATTTGCCATCCGTCAGCAAAGTGCTATAATGTGATCTAGATTTGGGCTGTCAGGTAGTTGGAAAGTTCTGGTTGGGGTTGTTGAGGACCAAAACCTGTACTACTACATGACTGGCAGAAAGATGTAATTGCCAACTAAAAAAAACCATTTAGTGATATGTTAATAATATCTTGTTAGAAAATAGAGAATATATTTTATGTTTACACATAGTAAGTGTATGGTGTATAGTAAGTATGGGTGTATATTTTGTACGTAACACACAGTGGTATATAAAAATACCCTGCGTGAATATAGCTATAAAATATTTAGCAGAAGGTTTGTTGATTGTTTCAGTTCAGACTTTAATTTGTCAGGAAATATCCCATTCATCTGTGATTAGTTTTGTGGTTGTGAATAACCAATAGAAGAATAATAAATGTAATTGTGTAATATAAAGACAAATTAAAACCACACTAATGCAAAAGAGGAAAAAGCTTAGGGAGAACTAGATAACATTTTGGTCACAGAACTAAACTCCCTCATGTATTCAGCAGAAAAGTGCTGCTCTGCCATGTTTAAGTGCGCTTGTTAAAAACAAACTCACTCTCCCGGTGCAATCCAGAATAATGAAGATGGCTGTGTTTTGCCGAGCACGGTAACTGCAGTATGCTGATCCCACTGTCTTTTATTTTAACAGAAACCTGAGCTACAACAAGTTGACGGAGATTGATCCTTCTGCCTTTGCAGAGCTGTCGAACCTGCAGGAAGTGTAAGTATTCTTTCAAAGGTTTTAATTGTATTTTGCCAGGGCGGCTTGCGGGCCAGGAGGAAATTGTATACAGTTTCCTAAGACAGTACCTTCCTTTAGCTAACTCGAATGAGCAGATCTGACTTCCTGAGGAGTTTTTTTCTCTGTATTGTACCTGTGCTGTTGTTTTTTTTCTTAAACTAATCAATTAGCAGAACATATCATCCCAATTAAAACAGCATAGCTGTTATTGGAAATCACTGGAGTTTGCCTCCCTCGATCTTCTGCAATGCTCTGAGGGAAAAGTTCAGCTAACACACCTGAGCATACACACAAAGCTCCCTGCTGAAAGGATAACCCTGAAGCAAGGCAGAACAGCCTGGATCGTGATACCTGATGCCAACCTAACCCAAATCTCCCAGGAAACAAAGGTGTAGTGTAGTGGGTAACAAAGCACTTAACTGTGTCTCCTCCTCTCAGACATTTGTGCTCCTTTTGGAACCAGAAGAAATTCTATTTGAAGTCTCCTAGGAGAGCCTAAAAGAGCAGAGCCGTCTTCTGCTTTGGTGGGGGAAGAGAAGGAGCTGGTGAAGGTCTGAGTGGCTGTGCCAGACCCCCTTGCTGGTAAAAGAAACCTTGTTTGGTGAATAGCAGGATTTCTCAGCTCCCGATCTGTGTAAATGCTCAGCAATTACACCCGCAGAGGAGCTGCGCCTGTCAGCTTTTCACAGTGATTCCTGGAGCTCTGATTTTGGGTTTTGAAAAACGAAAGTGACTAAAATTGCAAGCAGTGGGTTGAGGTAATGAGCTTGCATTTGAATGTTGAATCGCTGGCATACTTGAGGTTTGGGCTCTGTTTGAAGAGCTACTGATGCCTCATGGGAAACTGAGAAAACATTTCCTTTCAGAAACAATACTGTGTTCTGTGTATATCATGCATTTTCTCTTGTCCTCTGTCTGTTTTCATTAAGTGTTGGCTCTGGGACTCATGGAGGGGCCAGATCCTGTGATTCTTAAACAGGCAAACCAGTCTGCTGCAAGTGGGACTTCTGCCTGACTAATGTCTGCAGGATTGGACAGTGGGGATTAATGTAGCATCTCTCCCCTGCCTGATTGCCCCTGGCTCCCCTGCTTACACCGATAGTAGGGACTTGCTAGGGATCGTGAATAAGTGAGGAATATGCATCAGGAGTGACTGCAGTGCTTTGCAATCCCACCGAGCAGTCAGGGAGGGGAGAGAAAGTGATGCAGGTGAGCAAAATGCTGCCTACAGGATCTGTTTTCTCAACTTTTCTTTAAACTGTGGAAAGCCTTAAATTACTCTGTGCTTAAAGAAGAGAATCGCAGGCCTGATCCCATGAGACTTTAGAATTATCCTAACATGATTGTGGCTTAGCAATAGCTTTTATTTGTGGAAGCGCCTGAAGGCATGTGACTTTAGGGAGCGTTGGGCAGGGAAATGGATGTGGCTTCTGATTCCTTAGGTAGGGAGCTCCCCTGTGCGAAGTTCTGCACTCGTCAAGAGCACGACCAGCCTTGCACTGAACAATCAGCTGCTAAAAAAGGTATCAGGGGTTCGGGGGAGGTAAGTAATGCAGCCCACAAAGTAATGGTGCAGATAAGAGCTGCTTGCTGTGTCAGAAAGGCAGGGTTAGGGAAAAGGGAGAGAGCAGAGGAGTGAGTAGGAGGGAAAGGGATCAGTCAGAAATGGGAGACTGGAAGGGAGGCAGAGGTCTGGAGTGGAGCCTGGAAGGCAGGCACTGGAAAGTGTGAGGGGAGAAGCTCTATTAAAAGCCCTATCTACCAATCTTGGTTGCTTTTGAATAACAGCTAAACCACAGACCACTGAAATAAACTGCATTTCACAAAGAGAACCACATCTGTACTGCCAGAGCATCTCCTTTCTGAGTTGTTTTTTTCTTTTTTTTTTTTTTTTTAACAAACATTCATGAAATAAGCATCATGCTGTGGCATGTCTGGAGAGCAAGTCAGTGTTTTGCTGTATGCG